GGAAACGGCAAAACTGTTTCTTCTAAGAAGTCTTTATTCTAGAATGACAGCACTTTCAGCAAACGCTGTCCCAAATTTTAGGGGGACTAATCATCCTACTGCCTTGATTTTCCATGTAATAGGAAGCACCAAATAACTCTACACCACTACAGCTTTTCTAAGTATTTCCAAATAGCTGTTTACAGCATGCACACTCTGATAACACTATGTTAAAAACTCAGGGTTGGGTGGGGGGAAATGGGAGGGGGAAAGAGGAAAAATCTGACCCTAGGATCATTTTGACATGTCAGAAACTAAGCCTATCAGTACTCTTGGGTTTCAGGATAGTCTTATATCCCTTGAAAGATCTGCTATCTGTGACACTTTATGGATAACGTTTGGTAATATTTGTTTGATTTTTCCAAGTCATGCAGTTTTTGATTCTAGCTGACCAAGAAAGGGTTTGCATTCAAACTCTTGAGACTTCCAAAATATCAGAAGGGACTTTTTCAAAAACAAACATTGGTGTCAGAAGGCCTAATAATTTTAGGGAAGTATGCTTTGGCACCTCAATCCTTATATGAGAAACAAAGATGTGGTTTCAAGTGTATTTCTCTTGACAAGCTGGAGCCATACGACTCTGAAAAGGACAGCTGACGACTTTTTTTTTTTATACTAGAACCTGTATTTCTATCTTAGATTGGCAATTCACACCAACATCTTATTTCTGTAGATCTTCTGTCACCTACAATTACTAGACTTCTGATCTGTTACTAGGAATGTGATCTGAACATAAGATTTTAACAGTTCTCTTTAAAGAATTTTGTGCAGTTTTTAGAAGTTAAATTCCAGGCACACAATTCTCCTGCTTCAAGTAACTGACTTGTGACGTACAAACAATCTCAGATAGCTGTAGAATGACTTCCTGCTAAAAAAGTTAAGAAAGTTTGTCCTGCTCTTGTCCATGAACAGAAGAACCTCTTTTTTTTATAGGTTTAAAGTGTTTGAGTGATACATAAGAGATCTTTAGAAAATGAATAGGCAGTGTAGAAGTTGAAGTTGGTGAATTATTCAGGTTCTTCTCATGTTTGAGATATTTTTCTACTTCTATGTAGCTATTGCAGCTTGTAAGTGAGGTTTGCTACAGGGTGACTAGCTACACAGTACAGACTGCTTCTGTGCTGTAAATCATCAATTCCCAAGATAGTCTTTGCAGATTGCTGACATCGCATACCATAAATAGATGACACCATTCTTAATAAACACTAAAGATTGTTTCACAAGAAAGTAATTCAAACATCACTGCTAAAGCTTCCTTTTCCAACTAATACTCAACATGTTATACTGGAAATCCATATTAATGTTAAGGAATAATTTAGGATTAATATTGTAACAAAAATCTTGTTGAGGCCAACTTTTAAACCATTCAGGATATTCAGCCTGAGTTTTTTTTTTGGTAATTAAAATGAAACTTCAACCATAAGTGTAGACAGCTTCCAATGAATCCCACATCTCTCAACCACATTAAAGGATTAGACTTCCAAATCGGTAAGTAGGCATTGTCTCCTCTCCTCTTACTCTTTTCCCAAGCATGTAAATAATCTTTCCTGAGCAGGCTGGTAGAATTAAATTGGTATTTTGTACACCAGCACATCAAAGACTCAAGTCTGCATAAAAAAACCCCTCTAAACTATTAACTGTCTGATCCTGTAGCACTTAAAGGGTCTCACTGATGTCAGTATGGATTTGAAGGGGAATGATTTGGTTTGTTTCAACATGGATCTAATAACACATATAAAGTCTTTACCTTTTTGGCAACAGCAAAAGATGTTAGAATAGTCTTAGAACTTTTCAAAGCACCTATAACAATTTTCAGTAGTTTGACCACTACATGCTTCTGTTATTAAACATAAGCTTCCAGATTTCACCTACTTGGGCATTTAGTATGCCAGTTTTTAGCCTGGATATAAAATATAATATAAAACTACCTACAGCACAGATGAAGAGCCTGGCAAGTCAGCTAAGAGACTGTTGTAATTTAGAGGGTTGGATGAAGACACCCTCCAAAAGTTGGGAAGCACATATAAGTTGCTCCAAAGCTTAAGAACTAAACACCTATCAAATTATATTTTCATACAAATCTGTAACTTTCATGGGAAAGAACTGGTGGTGTTTAGAAGTTGAAAGAGTCATACTTTGTCAGTTAAAAAAATGTTCTGGATCAATGATGACATGCACCTCGTTACATTTTCATATTCATGATACTTTACCCTTCCGAATTCATTTTCCAGCAATCAATTCCCTTTGAGAGTACCTGGAAGTCTAGTCTCTTTGATGAGCTCCATTCATTAAACAGAAAGGCATAGTGGAATAAAAAAAAAGCTCAGTCCTGAGCTTTTTTCAACAACTTCTTAACTGAAAAAAAAGTTACTAAAAGTGTAGCTGGAATGGTTGATAATCAGAACTCCAAATGCTCAAAAGCTAATGTATTTCCAAATAGAGAAGCTATGTTAGGACAAAATATAATCAATTTCAGCAAGCCCAGTGAAAGATGAAAGCAGATGGCCTAACAAATTATTAATACAGAAGAAACCATTTTTCTTCAACAAAAATGAAACAATGAACATGTGCATCTCATCCAGGGAAGACTGCATTCCAGCTTTCAGCTAGGGCCAACTGATCAATAAACACTTATCTTGGCTCAAAAGAACTTACATCAACAGTCTGTCATTTTAAATAGGCATGTGTTAAAAAGCAGCCTCACTTCAGTGTTTGTATTTTGGACAATCTGAAACACTGGCTATTTCCATGTTTTCATTAACTGCAGTAATTCAAGATCAGTACTGTAAAAAGGATATGAAGTATGCTGGCATTCCACTCAGACTGGTAAGAAAACAAAAGGAGTCTGAGGCACTAAGACTTAGCTACATTTGAGAAGGGCCAGATTGTTGCTGCTTCGTTAGTGTTTCGGGGTAGAATTTTTTTTGTTTGTTTGTTCTTAAAGTCCAATTTTGGTGTATAGCCGGTAAATGAAGACAGATCAGAAAGCAGTTCATAAAGATTTGCTAAGATATATTGAACTCTCCCCTGACTGGAGAGAACTACAATAATCTCAACACTAGCCTAGTCTCAATCTTTGCCTAGAGTCCAATATTTTCTTCTCATGTCAGTAAATCTTGGATAATTACTATTGAACCATTTTTGTTATCTCACTGAAAACCAGATTTAAACTCAATTTTTACCACATGCTAACAGGCAATAACAATAATTTAGAAAGTCTGAAATTTCTTTTTCTACTAACCTACATGAAAGACATTCCCAGTTTCACAGACTTTGCTTCTCCTACTATGGTCTTTCCAAGTTCAAGAATTTCCAGATTTATACTAACCAACTTTAATAAAAGCAGTAATTTCCGTATTACAGTTAAGATACTAAAGCACCTGGTATCTTCGTATAGAATAGACTTCTGAAGCACTGTGAACACAAAATGTTTAAAAAAAGCTAGTTGAATTAGATAACCACACAATTTATTTTTTAAAAGTTTGTTGGGAGTAAGAATTGAGATATTTCAAAGAACTTAGGGATTTCCATGACTGCCACTGTGAAAGTTCTACATTTAATTGCTAACCTGCTTTTTTATAATTAAAACTATGCCCAAGAATAAGCTTACTCTGTTCTTTCTTTACTAATTATATTTCCATCAAGCATTTTGTAGGAGTACTAAAGTTTTCCATTCATGATTTATATTTTTTCTGTCACTCAAAGCAAATAAAACATACATCAGGTTGAACACCAAACACAAATCTGTCTCTACTATGACATGCTTTGTTAAGGACCAATGTTTCAAAGGGGCTTCAAACAGCCTTCGTTTGATGATGATTTACTTCTTGGGCTCTCTATGAGCGTGTAGCCTGTAAAACTGCGGCAAAGAAGGCATAATTGACAATGCAAGGTAAGTAAAAGGCATGATAAAAATGTCACTGAATTTCATTAAAACATACTGACCCATTCAAAATCTCACTGTAATAGTTCACCTGTTTTGCTCCAGAACAGCTCTACAAGAATTTTCACTAATACAAACTAACCTAAAGTACAAGTCCTTTCATTTCTTACGAACTTTTCTACACTTCCTTCAGAGAAAATATTTGAGATGATAGAAAATCAGGTTACAAAGAGTAAGCATCATCAACATGACCTCATTTTGATACTAAAGCTAAACAGCCTATTTTAGTATATACTCAAGTCTATTAAGCTCTTTTCTTCAAAAGTATAAAGTTTCTTACTAGTGCTGGTAGGAAACAAAAAGTAAAAATAAATAAAATAGCACAAATGGGTATGGTCAACCTATAGTTTAATTGAAAACGTACTAAACCCAATACAGAATAAGCTAAACACCGATTTGCTAAAAACCCTGGAACCAAGAGGTAATGATCTACATTACCACATGTCTTAAGGTTACTTCCTATTTGTAGTTTTGTGCCCAAAACAGGAAACACTAGGTGCACCACAAATGAAAACTTGTTCAACAGATAGACCTCATGCTGCACCAACAGCATTCTCTATTGGCCCTTTCAAATGTGATGGAAATAGAAAGAATTGCAGTCTGCCTTTGGACGAACTCACAGTGACAATACATAAAATGCAGGAAAAAAACCTGACTGAGATTCCCCAGGAGTTTATCCATAGGTGTGGAATGGAAGGAGTGTGTAAGATTGCATTTTTTTTTACCGTTTTTACATAATTTATAATACTTTAAACACTGGTCTCATAAATACAATATGAACACTTTACACATGCCAAGCAATTAAAAGCTTTCCCCCAAAACTTTCAGGTCTTATCAGAACCACTGGCAGTATCTGTTTTTAGTCAGTAACCACTTAATTTAGTCAGAACTACAACTAGGTTTTCTTCAACCAACATCTTAATATTAAAAAACTTGTAGGAACAAAAAGATGCCTATAAGCATATCAGTTTGCCTTAAAATTATTAAAGTCAGCATGAGAAAAAGATTGTCTGTGGTTTAAGATCTGTTGCTTGTGTTCCCACCCCCAGCGCATATCATCTTTAAATAAAAAGTGCAAATGGGATTTGGGGACTGGATGGACTGATTTGCCTATTATTTGTCTTCAGTTGCTTATTCTGTAGCCACCTCACATCAACTGTCCCATCATACTTTGGATTAGCTACAATTAAATTTAAAATAAGGCTCACTGAAGAAGAGGAAAAAATGACATCTAACTTTCAGACTCCTCTCACCCCTAAGTCCCACAAAAGTGCTCATTTCCCTTTTTACAAAAAAAACAAACCCAACCTTAAAATCTTGATTACAAAACTATTAAACATTTCAGTTCTACCATCCATATAGTCACCTTCCTGTCAAGCAAGGCCAAAAAAGTGATGATGGATTCTCTTTGAATGCAAGAGATACTACACTTTTTGTAAGTAAACAGGCTGACATTACGATTGCAGTCTTTTCTGCGAATGTACAGATGTCAGATGAACTGGTCCATTTTTGTGGGACCTTGGGTGTATGAACACCAGCAGATAAAGATTTAAGACTGATAATATAAACCCAACATGAACTATTAACTTCCAAGACCACCTACTGTATAAACAAGTCTGATTTTTTAAGGGATCAGTCAACAGCAGCTGCGCTTTGTCACCGAAGGCTGTCTTCTAATTTTGAAGCCCTTACCACTAGACGGGGGGTTGGTGTCAGTTGATGGAATTCTGCGACCTACAAAGAGGCAGAAAAAAATTTATAGCAAACATTATACTTGAAACTAATTCTAAGCATTCAGTGTATGTTTTGTATTCAAAAATGTGTCCTCAATTAGTCATACGTCATTAGTGACAACATTCCTGCATAACAGAAGGATGGCAGTTAACAGTCTGTACTATGTAAGAGATAAGGTTCCACAAAAGACAGTGGCAGTTTGGAGCTAATTTTGCAGTGTTTACACTTCAAGGCTAATCTAAGACTTGGAGAGCTAAGCTATAAATGTACCCAGAGAATACACTCGGCAGGATGCAATACCATCTGGAATATCTTCATTGAGAACTACCATCCTGACCTGTATTTCCACAGTAGATCACCTGCATTGAGCTTAGCACAGAAATGCTTGTAAAGATAGCTGCTTTAGTCATCTAATCAGTCTTAAAAATTGACTATTCCTGGTTGAGTATTCTTTTCTGAGGAGGATTTCTGTTTTTTTTTTCCCCTAGTTTATTCAAGATTAATTTTAGAGAGCAACTATTAAGTCAGTAAGTTTTTTTTCCCCCTAGTTTATTCAAGATCAATTTTAGAGAGCAACTATTAAGTCAGTAAATCAGGAAGCTAATCTACAGCACATACTTTTTACATCAGCTTCAATACATTCAACTGCTTATAAGGATTTTATTTTTTTTTCCTTAAGTCTAACGTTTCTGTAATTATTCAAAGCTAAACTGCAGTGCACAAGCACACACACACAAATGGACTGCTGTTTGCTTCTTTTCACAAACAGGCTAACACACCTGCACATTGGTGCTGCTACCCGAAACATATCCTGCAAATAATACTGCATGGAATTCACTTTGGAATACTGTCTGCTTTTCATTCACACAAAAAAATTGTCATTGTCATCCCCGGCATGAATGAGATAGAAAAGATTTACTATGTAATTAAAACAACTCCAAGGTATCACAAAAATACATGTGGAAAATTTACACACAATAGTTGCCATTTCCCATGCAGTAATCTGGCATCTATAAATTCTTGTATTTTTGAAAATGCACTGGTTTAGACTGAGAACAAACACTAAGAGTGAGAACTTAATTCCTTTTCTCATCTGTATAAAGTTTGGATCTTCCTCGTGCCATTTCCTCTCCCTTCCATAACCTTGGAAGTACTAATTGAAACATTCGATAACAGACACCGTAAGATGACACTGATTTCTGACATGTGTACCCTGCTTGCTATTTATCCAGCAGCATCACAGTAAGCGCAAAGTCTCTAGAAATAATATTTAGAGGTCATCAGGTGACCAAAAATTTTTACAGCTCATTTCGCAGTCTGTATTCACATCTGATTGTAACAAATTTAAGTCAGTATACTCTCACTTAAATAGCACAAAAAGTAATACAGTAATCAAATTTCTACTTGAACTTCTTTCAGAAGAAAGCACATTAACTGTTTAAATACTTACTAATTTCTATAAAGAGTTCATTAATGTTTATTGCATTTTTCGCACTTGTCTCTACAAATATTGCATGAATGGAATCTGCATAGTCTTTAGCATCTTTTTCCATGACTTCTCTGGAAAAACAAAGCAAAGAAAAAACTGTGAGTGAAAAAAACCACCCATTATTCAAAATCTTAAGGGATAGATTAAGCTTTCACGTGTCTCATTAAAACAGTATTTTGCATTTTACCTGTTTGGCATCACAGTGCTCCCTGATCTTGAAGTTGATGCTCATTCTTTACTTTCTGCTCTCTCCCTGTCTTGAGGCATGAGCATCACTAAAGCACAATCATAAACTAAACAAGGCCTTAATCCATCTGACAACATTACAGCGGAGTTTGTTTCTTGAGTGCTCTAAGTGTAGGTCTGCAATCAATCATTAGAGGGTGCTTTATTCTTCACACACAACAGTTTTAGATGTACCGAAAAGATCCTAAAGCATTAGTTCTGCTAATCTAGTGGATTTCCTACAGCTGTTTACAAAACCAAGTACCTCACAACACTGCATAGATCATTAGTATAGCATTTACTTTACATGAAGCATGAAGACATAGCTATAAACAGGAACTTATTTAGACTGAGCACACAACAGAGCCAGTAAGTGAAAAAGTTACTCTATACCCTTAAGCAGGCAAGTTGATAATGAAGTAATGTTTCCGTAAACAATATTAAAAAAAAAAATGAAACCCCAACAGGCAGAGAGAGGACCAGACTATACAGTGTATCACTTTACATACCATTTCTAGAAAACATAGGCTACTTTCAGTAACAAGGATATCAAAATCACAGACTTTGGATCAGTGCCTCAAATATTTCCTCTGACTAAAGTACAAGGAAACTTGCTCATTAGATTGAATAGCAATGTTTACATAACTTATGATGCCCCCTAAGCACCAAGAAATAAGCTTGTGAGACTTAATACTGCATGCCTTATATTTGCCTTCTAAGTAATTTTCTGCCGTATTTCCTTCAAGAGACATGCTGCTTCTAACAAAAGTTAGAGCTCACTAGATAACTGCTATATATTAACAATTTATAAAGCTATACTAAGAACCAACTTTGCAGTGGTTCTTTAAACACCTGTCTGTCTCCTTTGAGACACCAGCTGTGGTACCTATCCCAACGAAGTCTAAAAACAAGAAGTTTGCACACACCTTCTTTCTGACTTTTGGCTTACTTAACCAGGACATCAATAAAAAAGGGCTTCTTTTGTTTTTCGTACATGCCTTCTTGAAAGTTTCGTTGTTCATAAAGTTCCTCAAGAACTTTTCCCACTCCCTGCAACTATTCCAGCCACAGCCAATTCCACCCCAATACTTAAGCAGGGAAGGAAGGCACCTGAACAAGCAATTCAGAAAAACCTACACAATGCTTTCCAACAGGCTTGATGTTTTTCCTAAAAAAATGAGGTGCTACAGATTGACAGGGGTACTTCTTATCAAGTGAGGTAAACAGCTTGTATTACTCTATAGTTTCACAGGCAGTTTAGGCTTGTGTAACTTTGCACTGCCACTAGAAAAGGTAATCCTGTCTCCCTGTAAATTGCTCATTCCTAACCCTGCCATCCCACCTCTGTTATGCCAGCAAGTGTTCATGGTGTAAGAAAGATAAATACACTTGGATCAGTTTTCCTTTAAATGGTTAATCTGGATCCATTTTACAGCCTGATTTACTGCCCAATCACACATGTACTCACACCAACACAAGGAAAGAAGTATGCAAGACTGTCCAAGGGCAGACTAACCAAGTCTTCTGACAGTAGAAACAGCTCAGACCCCTTGTGAAACTACAATGCCAATGCAAAACAGCTTAAATTGCTCTGTACCTTTCACCTGCTCCAAAATCTTAAAATACTTAGCACTATGAGCTTAAGTGAAAACCACCAAACTGTCAACAGTTATTTACCTTACATCATTAAGATCACACTTATTTCCTGCAATAGCTACAACAATGTTTGGAGGTCCATGCTGTCGAAGCTCTTTAACCCAGTTCTTTAGTGTTGAGAAAGTCTCCTGATGTGGAAAAAAAGAGAAAAAAAAACAGAGGGAATTAAGAGTCAGAACTAGCCCATGACACAGAAAAAATCCAGAAATTGTAATGCTGGGTCAAGATCAAATTTCTTACCTCTTTTGTGATGTCATACACTATAATGGCTGCTGCTGATCCTCTGTAATACATTGGTGCTAAAGCACGGAACTGAAAGAAAGATACCATATATTATGAATCTGATCTTCCACTGACCTCCATGATTTCATTATTATTATTACTGAAGTGAAAGCTAGCTTTAAAGTTCACAATAGTGGAAAACTTTTCCTTACAATTACAGAGAGGCTGTGCAGTAGATTTATATAAACTTCCATTAAAGTGTTGTTTTACAAAGGCCAACCAATAGTTTAGGGATCAGCAGCACACCTACTGCAAAACACAGAAAGGCAAACTGCACCTTATTTTGACTAGATTAGAATCTCTCATTTAAAAGACTGTAGATTACACACAGACACAAACCCACAGGATATATGCTCAACTTTAAACACCGAGCAAGAGGAAAATAGTCAAAATTGAACTCGCTTTTTCCTCTTTAAGATGATCATGCTCTTGAAATTACTTTTTGTCCAAGAAAACTAGCATATATTACTGCTGACCTGAAATGTTCAGAAGTTGGTGTCAATCTCTAGCCCCACAGATCGGTCATGGCACTCTTAAATGCTAGAAATGCTGGCTTCTTTGTAATCTAACTTACAGCTTTAAGGATTTAAGTTTTTCCTCAAAAGTTAGAAGCATATTTAAAACTAAAAATTGTAAAAGCCGACAACTATGTGACCTGTTGCATATGTGAATTAGCACTTTTGTGCATCTTATTACTCAGGGTAAAAATCATGAATAGAATACAGTTTTTCCTAAAGGCTTATTTTCTTCTAATAAAATACCAAATTCCTTTTGCTTGGTACAGTTCAATTGAGAGCAATATTATAAATCATAAAAATCTTTCTATAAAGCAGAATTCCAGACCATTTACATTTGGCTCTCAAATTCTGTTTTGAAAATAGGATTTTGAACACAAAGTTCAGAATACAAAAATATTTAATAGTGGGAAAGTGAAACATGGGCAGGCATTCAGTTCGTGTTAGGACATAATCCCTCTCTTCCTCCTAAGCACTAAAACGTAAAGGGAAACATATTTGGTAAACCACCACTTGGCATAGTTGCAACCTGGCTTTTTGATTATTTCACTATTTATATTGGGAATAAACCTACTTTCACTTGCTGATTTTGTATTACTCTCATTTCCTGCCTACTAACACTTAGATACTTTTTTCCACCTAAGAGCAGTCAGCAGATAAAACACATTAAGAAAACAGATGTTACCAGAAACACTGAATTTTCCTTTTGTTATTTTTCCAAAGACTTCAGCTTGCCCTCAAGCCTCCAATTTGTGTTTTGACAGAATTATGAAGACAGCATAATGTAATTATTCAGAGAAACTGTCAAAAGGCGGCAAAAATCCTAATTGCTATAAGTAATCTCCTATCAACTTTACTCAGCGTAGGAGAAATGAGAGAAGAAATAAGGCATGCGTATGTCGGGGAATGAGCTGAATGAAGTGAATTAGGGCATATTTCCACCTTTGGAGTGAACCTAGCCAGCCACTCCCTGAAGCCACTTAGAACAAGGGGTTGCCCACTGTGGTGCAGAGCTATTTGCTGCTGGGCTTTTGAAGTGGAAAATAGCAAATGCTCCTCAAGAAGCTAAGACTAGGAATTCTGTGCATTACACATCATGGCGCAGCAGAGACGTTTTAGTTCTAAGAATGGTGGGGGCATTTTTGGTATTCCAGATCACCATGGAGGGGATCCCTTCCATAATTCATTGTCCGATGTGTTGCACGACCAGAAAACTGTGCTACAGATTTCAGGGCACGGCAGGTATACAGACCATTTATGACTAACAGTAAGCGATAATGCTGTTCTGTTTTGGAGAAAGAAACATCTATGAAGATACTGGCATAATTTCAAAGTAAATATCCTTGCTCCCATTTCACTGGTTTCCTTGGATATATTGGGGCCTCACAGTGAATTCTCTCAGGTGCGGAACATAACCTTCACAGGTATCACAGTTCTTGGGTCAGAGCCCAGGTAAGACATCTTTCCTTTTTTGATTTCAATAAAGATATTGTGTAACTTGTATGGAAGAAAATTAAAGAGATATCACTCAGTCTAAAACCAGAAAGACAAGGAACATGCTAGTCATGAAAAGAGATACTTCCTCAGATTGTAGTGTGCTGAATCCAAATTACAGCATTCTCCCACTGCTTGCAAACACAGTTAAAGAGCTTTAGAATACTAGTACGTAATGGATATTTCCTGCCAAGCTGTGCAGGCATGTTTATAAAGCTTTCCATTTAAGACCACCAGCCTCTCAAAATTCATACACTACCTCTCAGAAGACTCACATTCCAGCATGAATATTTCAGAATGGACTAAGATGTTCACTTAAGACAAACTATTTACAGCAAATGCTGACTGACTGCTAGTAATGGAAGGACTCAGATATTTCTGATAACAAGGATGCTACTGGACATATCCGCGGGACACATCTCTGACAACATAAGTTTGCTTTATATGGTGCTGCTGGAAGGAAATAAATTGTCATTGAAAATCTAGAGCACTGAAATGCAATACAAATACACTCGAGTTACTTTCTAGCCATCAAGGCTGCTATCAAGCTAAAAAGCTAGCAAGTCAGTTCCACCAGGACTCCAAAAGGTCGCGGGACTCTGAACATGGACGACTGAGCCTTTACAAGGGTTTTTTGTTGTTGGTTTTGGGCAGGGTTTTTTTGTTTTGATGGTGGTGGGTTTGGTGTGTGTGGGTTTGTTTTTTTTTTTCTCCTTGCTTGCATTCTCTGTTTCTTGAGCCAATCCTGAAAAATAGTACAGCTGCATTTTCCAGGTATTATCCTAAAGTAATCATCCAACCTGATCAAACTGACTTTTAGTGGGGACAGCTCTGGTGTCTACCTTTGCTATAGTTAGCTCACATCCTAAGTAAACTCATTGTGAGTAACTGACAGTGGCCAGTAGTTAACAGTCAAGAAACTGGAAGAATAAGCACTGTTAATACAGCTGCTATAATTTCTACCACTACTACTAGTAATCCATAAACAAGCAAGTTAACTACCAAAGTCTTCCTTTTAAATTCTAAGTAAAAATCATGCAAATCAATTAACTGTGATTTCATTTGACTAGTCATTTTCTTGAAAGCTTTTGTTGCCTCCCCTCAGAACTATGCACACTGCAGACATCAAAACCCCAAACTACCAAATTAAAATTTAAATTTCAAAATAGATTTCTTGACATAGCTTCTAACAGTATCAGATTTGAGAAGTAAAACTTTATGGATTAGTAAAAGATCAGTTATCACCCATAACATTGTTTGAAATGCTGCTTCAGAAACCCTAAACCCACATCCTACTCACATTAATAACCCTAACACTGAAGGTAACAGAATGTCTTAGCAGTTGTGTATTTTTCCACAATCAGACCCTTACTTGTACTTCAAGTGAACAATCTGAACAATCATTCATTTCATTTTGATTCTCATGTTGCCAGTTGCGCTGGCTGCAAACGCTGCAAATGAATGTTTACAACTCAACTAGAAATGGTAATAGAGACAGCTGCTGGCTTCCCCGCCACCTTGTTTTCTTTTGAAATGGCACTCCCTTTCAGTGAAACTAAACCCAGTCTTTTGTTTCATAAACTCCTCTTCCTAGGTAATCATCCTTAACTTCTTTGTACTTTAACCATGATAACAATGAAAAATAAAAACATATTTACAGCACCCATATCGTGATAGAAACCTGCATAGAAACAAACGTTCTAATACGTGTTTGTAAAACCAGATCACATTGTGACTTTCAGGGGCAGGGTTGCAACACAATGCAAACTCTAGCCAGAACTATCACTGCAGATATTGATTCTACTCACCCGCTCCTGTCCAGCTGTATCCCAAATTAGGAACTTATGCAGCTCATTTTGATACTGTACAGTCTTGGTCATAAACGAGGCTCTGGAAAAAAATTACAGCTTATGCTTTTCAGAATACAAATACATTCTTAGAACATTACCTCCATGAACTTTTAAGGAGGTTTGCATTCTAATAAAAGTGCTTTCCACACACATACACAAAACCGACAAAGATTTTCATAGATAAAGGCTGAAACTAATGAGGCAAAGGGTCTCAGAGGATGAAATTGAACTAACAAAACAGAAGGAACACAAGTGTAAGTTATAAGTTTTTATTGTTCATAAGCTTTTGATAAAAATAAAGCATGTATGACCAAATCGATCAGAAAGGTCAGCCTTTTTAACAACATTCTTCCTCAACTGAGGAATCATCACAGCAAATCACTTAAGTGTATACCAGAAACTTCCAGAAGGAAAGAGATCAAATCTTCCCCCTTTGTATCAGTTTTTTCTATCTCTGTACTAAAATTCAGATACACGCTGGTAAGTGCACACTTGGGAATAAAATACGGGAGATTCATATCACTATTGGTAGGTGTTAGGATGACAGAGAAATCAATAATGCGTAACTTGCTTGTTGTCTGGACTCTGTACAGCTCCCAAATCCTGATTATATCTTCAGTCTGCAGAGGCTCTTGCACTTCCAGAAGACAAACATAAAAATCTCTTTCTATGCTCCAGCTACTCCTGCGTCAACTTCTAGATGTTTTACAGTTGTGCTTTACTTGATCTGCTTTACATGAATCAGCGTATTTCCCACAAGAAGTGGAATTCAGAGACCTAATCTTTTACAAGGAGTTCTTTGCTATATCTATTACCTGTAGGCACATTTTTTTTTACTAGAAAAGCCACACACCGAGTTCAAATCTTTGTAGAATAGGAACTATAGATGCCATAATTATTTTAAGCATATGAGATCATAGAATCATTATGGTTGGAAGAGACCTCAAAGATCATCAAGTCCAACCATATACCCGATGCCACCATGCCTGCTAAACCCACTAAACCATGTCTTGAAGCACCACATCTAAACGTTTTTTGAACACCTCCAGGGACGGTGAGGCCACCACCTTCCTGGGGAGCCTGTTCCAATGCCTAACCACTCTAACAGTGAAGAAGTTCTTTCTAATGTCCAACCTGAACCTCCCCTGGTGCAACTTGGTATCATTTCCTCTTGTCCTATCGCTAGTTACTGGGGAGAAGAGACCAACCTCCACATCGCTACAACCTCCTTTCAGGTAGCTGTAGAGGGCGATCAGGTCTCCCCTCAGCCTCCTTTCCTCCAGACTAAACAACCCCAGCTCCCTCAGCCGCTCCTCATAAGATCTGTTCTCCAGGCCCTTCACCAGCTTTGTCGCTCTCTTCTGGACATACTCCAGCAGCTCAACGTCCTTCTTGTAGTGAGGGGCCCAAAATTGGGGATTTGAGGTGCGGCCTCATCAGCGCGGAGTACA